CCCAGGCTGGAGTGCAGTGGCACGATTTCCGCTCCCTGCAACCTCTGCTTCCCAGGTTTAAGCAATCCTCTCACCTCAGCCTCCTGAGTAGCTAGGACCACAGGTGTGGTTAATTTTTGTATCTTCTGCAGTTTGAGGTTTTGCCATGTTGCCCAGGCTGGTCTCAAACTCCTGGGCTCAAGTGATCTGCCCACCTTGGCTTCCCAAAGTGCTGGGATTACAGGCGTGCGCCTCCGTACCCAGCTGGAACAAATTTTTGCTTTACTTTCATTTGCCATATGCTTGTGCATGTAGTTAAAGTAATTAAAACTTTATTGATTGATAAAGGTCCTAGGAAATGTTTTCCTTAACGTAAAGTATGGAAATTGTTTACATATCTGAGCCTTACGCACATCCAAGAATCAAACTGTGTGTGTACCGCCTCTCCAACAACTCTATAAGGTCTGCCTGGGGTCTCATCTTCCACTTCCTCCTCCTGTATTTTTTATGTCCAAGAATACCCAGTTCACATTGGTCTTAGAGTATATCCTCAATAAATACCAGTTGTAGTAAGTTGTAGGAGTTGAATAGTTCTAGTAGATGGGGTATTGATTTTAAATAACTAAAAATACAGGTTCTTTCTGGAACTCTACTGGAGACGTCAGACCTTATTGTTTTGTTTCGTTTAAGAGCCAGGGCTTGCTATGTTGCCAGACTAGCCTCAAACTCCAGCTGTCAAGCGATCCTCCCACCTCAGCCTCCTGAGTAGCTGGGACCACAGGCATGTGCGACCATGCCTGGCTTAGACTTTAACTTTTGACACTAGGACACTACCATGTTGTTCCTCAGCATCATTCAAAAAAGGAAGCTAAAATTAATCCTTAGTAGGAGTAGATTTTAGTTCTTAAATTACAAAAATCACTAAAAAGGCAGATAATAATTATTCTAAAGAACATACTTCCAGCTTGCTTTTGTTTTATTTATTTATTTTAAGACAGAGTCTCACTCTGTCACCTAGGCTGGAGTGCAGTGGCACAATCTCGGCTCACTGCAACCTCCACCTCCTGGTTCAAGCAATTCTCCTGCCTCAGCCTCCCAAGTAGTTGGGATTACAGGTGCCTGCCACTGCACCCTGCTAATTATTGTAGTGTTAGTAGAGATAGGGTTTCACCATCTTGGTCAGGCTGGTCTTGAACTCCTGACCTCGTGATCCACCTGCCTCGACCCCCAAAAGTGCTGGGATTATAGGCGTGAGCCACCAAGCTTGGCCTCCAGCTTGCTTTTAATGTCTGAACTATAGAATGGAGTGTGGGTTGTTTTCTTCTTTTAAACGTTTCTCCCTGGTGAAGTTTCTTTGTTCTAACTGCCAAGTTCATTTCAAAGAATCCTGAGTATCTAGCAGTTAAAACAAATCCTATAGATTATACAAGGAAATAGTCAACGGAAGCAGCCAGCTGCTTATAGTACTACTATTTATAGGACAAGAAGACATTTGTTTTAAAACAGAACTTTAAAAATCTCAAAGAGGTCATTCCCCTACTTTTTAAGTTGATAAATATATTTTAACCTTTTAGGACAGTATTTACTTGATATAGCCAAAATTATAACACTGAAATTAGGGAAAATGCTGAACAGTGTGCTAACATATATCTTGTACCTCATCTTAAGTGGTTTTGGAAAATCCCTAAAAGTAAAGTACATGAAAAACTTAGCATTCTTTTATCTTCAAGGAAGTCTACATGCTACCAAAAAACTTTGAGGAGCAAAACTTTGTTTAAAAATTAGGATTATGAGAAGAACAAATTTATACTTTCAGTTTACCAAACTAGTTTAAATTCGGTAAGTACAGAAGCCCATTATTAGATTGTAATTTCAAGGAAAATGTTGAGTATCAAGAGTAAAGTCAAGTCTGATATTCACAATTAATAGTTGAAGATTCCCCGAAACAAAGTTAAAAGTAGCACCACTGACCATTTTCAAGAGTTACGTGTTTTAATTTAAATTGCTTATTTTATCAACTATTGTGTAACTTCTCTTTATTACAGAGGTGATTTGACTACCCAACAATGTTACTATTAAAGACTTTATTACAGACTGATGTTTTTAAAGCAAGACTAGGCAAAACTTGTTACAAATTAACTTGATGTTATATATAGAAGGAGCAGAACTGAATCAGCCTATTTGAGGCAAGACATGCCTTTGAGATATTGAATGCTGCAAATACAGTTAAGCAACTCTGCTAATGAGCTTTGGGAGAGAACAGAGGTGGCTTGGACAGTACAAGTAACTGACCAAGGAAGTCCCCAGAAAGATGTATATCAAAAGGTGGAACAGTGGAATGACAGGCAATTTTCAATTTTTTGTATGTACCTTTTTGCACAATCTGAACTTTAACATGATGAACATTCTGGCCAGGTGCAGTGGCTCACGCCTGTAATACCGGCACTTTGGGGGGCCTAGGTGGACAGATCACTTGAGGTCAAGAGTTTGAGACTAGCCTGGCCAACATGGCAAAACCCTATCTCTACTAAAAATACAAAAAATAAAATAAAAAATTAGCCGGGCGTGGTGGCGGGCGCCTGTAGTCCCAGTTACTCGGGAGGCTGAGGCAGGAGAATCACGTGAACCTGGGAGGTGGAGCTTGCAGTGAGCCGAGATCACACCACT